ATGAAAAAAGTGATGGTAATAAGTTAAGTAGAACATTTGAAGCAATTATAAACTACCATAAGAAACTAAAATTCCCACAAAAGTTGTTGACAACAATCATTGAAATAAAACCCAAAACTATAGCATAAGTATCAATTGTCAATGGAATCTTGATGAACCAATTATAACTTTATGTATAACTACTAAATGCTTAAACAAACTTCGAAATTATAATTTTGAACCAAAGTAAGGGATTTTAAGAATCACTATAATCCATGAAATGTTGTTGCAACAAATGATACATTTTATATTTAAGTCTACCAACCGATAATCCTTCGAGACCACTTTTACTTGAACTCACAACCATAAGTAAAGCTTGCCTCTACATTTTCTATTCAATCAACATTCAAAACCCATGTTAATTCAGATTTATAACTTTTATCCTTGTCTAACATTGTATATGGGAGATTAAACTCACTTTATTTGTTTTTCACATCCTCTTTATCCCCTCTTCGAAGAACAAATTGTTTTGAAGATTTGGATTCATTACACTTGTCTTCTCTTTGCTATTTATATTCAGCCTCATTCCATTATTGCATTTGTTTGGCCTTACTATGTTGAGGTTAGATATACTATTTAGACTCATTATGCTCATCTTTATTCCATAATCCATATTGTTTATCTTCGCTCCATTACTATATTTACTCATCCTCTCTCCATCATTAGGGCTGAATTCCCATATGTCCCCTCTCCCCCTCCTCCAAAGAAAAAAAAGTTTGAAGTATTAGGGCAAAAAGGAGAAAATAAAAAAAACTGAAGAAAAACAATTGTGGAAGAAGAAAAATTGGATAAAGAAGAATTTGTAACCACTAGCAATGTAGAAATAGGGAAATCAATAGAAAGATATATGTTTAAAGCTTGGAAAATAGGGGATTTTCTATCATAAAATACTTCGACCACCATAAATATAATCACCACTCAACTTCCTCAACACACAACTCAATAACAAAGATGGGGAAAATTAATAACAACATCCACATTCTCAAGGGAATACATGAATTTATCAACAGCAACAATGGCTTTTAACAGCACTAACAAGTGGGAATATCACTTGAAATTCTAGCTAAAGTGACTCAATCCTTAAAACATAGGAATACTCAACACCAGAATTAATTATAAACTTTGTCAATGAAACAAAAGTAAGATTCTCAACTTTATACACATACTTAACATTTAAATTAATATAAGAAGGATATAAAACATGCAATTCAACACTGGACTAAGAATGAGAATCATGAGAGTCACAAATGATTGATGTGTTATGAAAAAGAAACATTTTAGATGAGGAAAAAATATTAAAAACATAAGAAAGTGGCTCAAGCCAAAAAGGTAAAAAAAATAGAATTAGATAGCAAATTGAAGAATTAACATTTACCTTACAAAATTTTCATTTTATCTCCAAAACTATCTCTATAATAATTAAGTTTATCAAAATGATGTAGAATCCACTTGAGCTCATACAAATCGTTTTCCCATATACTCAATCCTTGAATATTTTCCAAGAACTAGACTGCATCATCCATAACTTGCCAATCGATATCACAATCACACTCCACATTAACAAGAGATGGCAAAACACTGAGAAAAAGATAAACTATGTAATCACATCTCATAAAAGTTGGAGACGACAACATACTAAGGATGGGTGCAACACCAATATAATCACATTTCATAGCATTAAGAGTTTGATCCAATGAAGTATTATTAGCCCTTGATCAATGATGGCATGACATGGTAAAAAAATAAAATGTAATAAAGATAAAATAAAAAGAGTAGATCTAAGTACAATGATAACTAGAATTCCAGATCTTGTAAAAAGCTAATACAAATTTAGATTTAAGAGCAAAGCATTATCAACTTTGCCCTTCAGGGACAAATTGCAATATCCCTCATTTCCATTAATGTGGGAATAAGTATATTAATTAGGGTTTAAACCCCTGCTTATATACAAGAATAAATGGACCATATTTAATCCCAAATGGAGAGTCAATATACTATAGTACTATAGTTAATGTGTATATATATATATATATATATATATATATATATATATATATATATATATATATATATATATGTGTATATATATATATATATATATATATATATATATATATATATATATATATATATATATATATATATATATAT